TGACACCTTTGCTCAGTGTTATGTAACGTAGCTATGCCCCGGGCATTTTCTATAGGGATTTTCTTTCTGGAACCCTCTTCCCAGAGATGTAGATTCAAAACTGACGAGGTGATCAGTAGACCTCTCCTCAGTTTCGATGACGCTCCTAGGATCGAATTTTACATGTGGAATCGATTCCGGGCTGAGAAATTTGATATAGGAATCTTGCTCGCTTATGAAACTCAGAGGTGGATAATACTGTAGAAAGTCGCATCGCTCTTATTAGTAGTACCCCAAGCACTGTAGACGCAGTGAAGCACTCGTGGAGGGGGTCTCTGGGAGTTGTTCAACTGACCAGCAGTGGAGTTTCCTTCTCAATGGGAGGAGTCGTCTCTACCCTAGATGGGACCACGGGTATGTTCGCTCTCATGGCCAACGCTGTCGTCATGAATCTACTCCAGTTGGCAGCTTATGGTGTCATAACTCCTTTCAGTAGAGATGCGTTCAGAAGGCTCAACTGGTGAGAGTTGGAGGCTCTTACTACTACTCATTCCTTATCTGCGTTGACTTATTATTTCTTTTGTAGGTACATCTGTTACTTGTCATGGGCGCCACTGGTAGCCTGGGGAGAGCGTACAACACGTTTGGTCTTGCACGGTAACGCTCAGGACTGGGCTCAGTTGTCACGGTAAGGGTGATGCTGCTGCTATGGGTGCTACTGCTGTTGTGGTGTAGGGATAGGGCGTTGGTGTTGTCTAATCATATTGCTGGGATGGATTGGCTTATGATGTGGGCTGTTACGGAGAGGACGGGAGGCTTACCGGCCTGCAAGCTCTGCTCAAGGTAACCCGCTGAGCGGAATAATTCACGCACGATTATGCAGATGTATATGTAGAGTCGTGATTTAGAATCCTTCGATTCTCCATTCTTGGGATGGTCCTGGGCGTGCGCGATACCCATCCTAGCGCGACAGTGGGAAAAGGATAGGAAATCTCTGGGAAATCGTTTGCAGGCTTAAGAGGGTAGGATAGACCTCTTGCAATATCTCGCATTTTGCCCAGTGTGGGGAAATATGCACATAATCAACTACATGTATCGGTGACAATACGAAAATCCTGGGAGAATTTTGAGAAATTTATGTTCGTTTCTGAACACTCCTACGCTAATTTGGTGAAGAAGCTCCTGGGCTCAGCTGAGGAGAGCGAACATATATTCCTCTAACACTGCTTTTGTCAACGCAGGTATACGTCCCCGTACTTGCTGACGATTTTCGCTGAGGGCACTCGCAAAACTGCAGCCAAGTTGAAGAGGTCGCAGGAATTCGCCAAGTCGAAGGGCTGGAAGGTCCTTCAGAATGTTAGTCGTTCGATGCCAAGGGGTGGATTCGAACCGGGGACCTTTAGGTACTGCTACCCAAGACTAAGGGTTTCACTGCGAGTGTCAACGCCTTGGGAGACCAGCTGGACAGCGTGTATGTGAAATAGCCTCTCCGTTATTGCTGGCTGGCGTTGACATTTGATACTGATTTCCATTATGTTGTCAGGTTCGACGTCACGTTGGTCTCCCCTCCGGGACTCGAACCGACTCTAGGTAAGCCTCTTGAGAATGATGTTTCATAGTCTATTCGGGTATATATAGATATTACTAGTATTTTACATCGATAGTATAGTTCAATGATATCTTGATAAGATATGTGAACTCCTCCCGTGAACTGACGATATCTTTCTTAGGTAGCGTACTTCGTGGCAGATTGGGAGAGCTCCACATTTTGCTCAACCGCATACCATTTGCTAGTATCCCACGACGTGATGAAGCTGGATTGGACGCATGGCTCAGACAGAGGTTGGCTCTTCCCGTGGTCGGGTAGAATGTGGTTATTCAGGTGGGCTACCAAGGACGAAAGGATTAGCGGCTTCTTGTCGAGTGGGAGTTGTACGTTCCCGGGCGGAGTTGTCCAGGTGACGCAGTTCAAGAGGAGGATGCTACCAAGAGGTGCGCTTATATTGAACGATACATCTAATATGATCGGGGGTGTCTACCGATCGATTGATATATAAAAATATAGAGAACAGGGATGGCTTAGTTGGAGGACGAATACAAGGGCGCGGGTGAATTGAAAATCGCGCGCCTTACTCGACCGCAGAAGACTACGACTCCCTAGACAATATACTAGACAACAAAACGCACCACGGGGAGAGTAATGTATATCATGACAACATATGTTACTCTTGTGAACTAAGTTCTGGTTGTTTGATAAATTCTGCTTCACGTGATGGTGTAGAAAGTGGTCTTTGAGAGTTGGGTCTGAACTTGTTGTATACCAAACAACAGCGAACTTATCCGAGGACTGAGTTCCACAAACATTTCTCCCCCGCTCGCACACCACCACCACGTTGTTGTGGGGAGGGGGTGCGGAAGGGAAAACCCGAATGGGTACTACCGTAGTACTTGGGTTGTCTCCGGGGATAAGTCGAGGATACTATTACCTCCACATTCAGAGGCTGGAGAGAATCAGACAACATAGATTGGTCGATAGCTATGTCATGTGGGACATACTCCAATGGCGATTGGTTGCTCCGTGTGGGAACAAATCCCTCCTACTTGTGGAATTTTACTTCGATCAGCTGTAGTTCATCATCGCGGCCATAACAGCAGAGACATGTTCTAATATACAGGAGGCTCAGTCATGTGTACACACAGCGTTTGTTCAACTCAGTGCTGTACCGCAGCATCCAAGCCTCCTTCGTGATATCCGTGGTATATCTAGTTTACAGAGCCTTCCGTACCGATGACGAGGATGTAAGACTTTCAGGGCAATTCGCGCTCGCCATGGTGATCGATTAAGCGTTCAGGTGTTGCGGTTCCGGCTGCGGCTAGCAGCAGTATTGGTAGCAGCTGCGTTTTGTTCGGTGCATCTCCTTTTGAGAGTGTCAAAGCCGAAGAACGATTGAGGCTGGAAGGATTTTTTGGAAGAATCGATCATTCGGGCGTGCGCCAGTGTCATAGTGATGCTACATATTATAGTTTCACGCCTGATTGCTGGAGTGCGTAGATGAATTCACCTACATGTCCTGTGATTACTCTGCAGTTGAAATGATAGTCGGCAGCCCATATCGACTTCCTGCGTGTCGACGGATGTGCACTGATGTAGATAGGAAGAGTAGGAAGTGTTGCAGACCTCCCGCTCCGCTTCCCATGCCACTAGAGTTAACGCTGCAGATGGCAGCCATTGATGCAAATAATAGCAATCGTAGAAGACTCGTATATCTTCGTAACTTCATTGTAATAGAGAGGGACATTACAATCGTCAGAGCACGCCCAAAGATGCAAAAAAAATCACAACAAAGGTTGGCGTCGAGAAAGGGTCACTATGTTGGTTATAGGTAGGCAACGTTAGTACACTTGAATTCTCGTGCTGATATGGGAAGTGAGGCTGAGGAGGCAACACTACGAGAGCTCTGAGGAGGATGAGGAAGCCTTAAGCTAGCACTAGATGATCGATTCAACAGGCTCATGACGACTCTGGGATCACGAGCTGCAGCAGGCTGGGGGAGCATTCATTAGGCGCTGATTCAGGTAGTAGAGTATGGTTCGACAGCGCCTATCGGGCAAGATAACACTGAGTAGATGGTTTTGGCAGTGTCTATCAATGATGCAATTACTGTTCAGTGTGCCTTGGGTGTTGCCATAAGGTATTAACGCTGCATGACGCCATCGGATGCAATCTTGTTGTGTTTTGCTAGTGGCTAGGGTGAAACAGATCATCGAGGCGGGGTCAAGAGTATTCACCGGGTGCTGCTTCTGGTGTCAAGTATCACCAGAATGGTCGAAAACCTGAGACTGAGGCTCCTATTCATTCGCTTCGTTGTTATTCGTAGTAGCGATGGAAGGTGTACGACTAATATCAAAGCTCTTTTCTAAATGGATAGGAATAAAGCTGTGATGAGTGCAGGGTGAGCTTGTTTACTACCATTATAAATGTCTGTTATTCGCACGTCGAAGCTGTTGGAGGCGATGGACGATACTCCTATTGAGGACATACGGAACATATGCATCATAGCTCACGTAGATCATGGTAGTAGGGGGAAGTCTACGTCGTAATCAGCTGCTAATTGTGGAGCAGTTCTGACGTGTTTTGGTGTATATATGCATGCCGTAGTAGTGTTGGTGGGAATATACAGGAAATGATCAAACACGACGGGCTATTGGACTGTGCCTTATTATCTCACCATCTTGTGTGTTTGAATCGTCATGATATTGTCTGTCGCATCCCTCCATCAGCGTGTAGATCTCTACTGCTAATCAGATTAGGTGGCATTCTGTTTGTTATTGTGTATTAGGGAAGACGACATTGTCGGATTATTTATTGGCTAGTAATAGGATAATATCACCAAAACAAGTGGAGGAGGGAACCAAGACAGGCGAGGCGGTAATGAGGAGCAAAAGCGATTGTATCATTGCTACTAGAGATGGGTGAATATATTTCAGTGATGATTTGTTTAGCGCCTATCCATCGTGTTGGAGGAACTTTCGTTCAGGTGCGGTATTTGGATAGCCGCGAGGATGAGGCACGTCGAATGATCACCATTGCGAGTAGTTGTGTTACTCTATTGGATGATGAAGGACATCTCTTCAATTTGGTAATTGGGGATGCCACTGTCGTATCTAGATCACAGCGATTCACCATAGACCATTCGGAATACGAATCAGTTCATGCTATGGATTCCAGATACAGGGTTGTTTCTTGTAGATTTGAGCGCTTCGGTTGGTAACGATGTGTTGTAATACATTTGGGTAGTTAGAATATGAGGGACTTGTTAGGAATTAATCAAAAGCTAGATCGGCCGCCGTCTAGTTTGAGGAGAAAGCGATAGGGATTATATTCATTATCTAGTGGCTGAGTCGTAGAATGCTTGCTAGCCCTGTGCAGACTAGTGAATACTATGAATACAATAAAAGATGAAGGTTTAATTGAAATCTAGTATAATGAACTGCGATGGCTTGAACCTGCTCACCTAGCGGAATTCAGGTGGATTCGCCTGGGCATTTGGACTTCAGTGCAGAAGTATCATCAGCGTCGAGGCTGACAGATGGCTGTCTATTGCTTGTGGACTGTGTGGAAGGGGTAATATTGTGGATACAAGTCATACCACTCCTTCCGTACATCATGGAATAAGGTACGACCTCAAACCCGTCATGTGATGCGGCAAGCATTCGAGGACAGAGTTCAGCCATTGCTAGTCCTGAACAAGTTGGACCGATTAGCAGCTCTCTATCCCGACCCGGAAGATGCTTTCCAGGTAGCATAATATTGGGAAGACGCTTAGGATAGCATCTTCGTCAACTATATGAGTCATACCATTTTCCCTCTTATTGTTTCTGTCCGCGGTGATTTCACGTTGGGTATTCTGCGTCTGACCTCGCGATGTCGGAATTGACAGCAGGATGTAGTCCACGATGATGATGGTCTTCGCGTCAGACCGTTGAAGTGCTGCATTGGGATAGCTCTTCTGTTTTCTCACTCTCAGCGAATTCGTAGTATTATAGAGGATGTTAATATGCACTTTCTGAACTTGGTGGAGTCGGACAAGGAGGCCAAGGGACTGGATGAGATAGATCCTCAGGATGAAGCAATGTATGGCAGTTTCGATCCTACCAATAATAATGTAACAATGGAGGTATCGGGTTCGATCCGCGGCAAGGGAAGATTTCCGTAGGTTTTATTCGCATCAGCTCTACACGGATGGGCGTTCGATCTTCGAGCGTGGGTGGATAAATTGCTGCTACGGAAACTGAAGATGTCGAAAGTGGTTGATTCGGAATGCACAGCGGATGATGTTGTGAAGTATTTATGGGGAGACTACTGTCTGAAGAAGAAGGGCTTCGAGGCTCTCGAAGGTGCAGTGACGGGGAGTCGCACCTTCATCAAGTTGGTGTTGGAAAACATATGGAAGTTGTATGAACAGGATGCTGATATGGGTGAGGGAATCGATCCCGGGATCTTTGGGATGAGCAACAAGCAGCTTAACCTGTTAGACTGTACTTCATTGCTCAGGTCGCGAGAAATTATCTAGTCAGTTTCCATTGAGTCAGCAGATCTTCCGATCGTGCATCAATAAGTTGCCGAATCCAGTGGAGTCAGCGCAAAGGAGGATGAAGACCTTGGCGCCGGGTCTTTGGACGGAAGGTAATACGCTCCAACAGCAGCCGCTCGATCTCGAATATCTATTGTGGTCGAAGGGATACAATACAGGCGGGGCAACTCATTCGAAGGACGCTCGTTGTAGCCTCTCGTGATATCGGCCAATCCATGTACAGTATACAGAAACATTCAGTGGTATCAAATTCTGGCATCAAGAAAGTGGCATTCAGTAGCATAACGGCATTATCTGCTATGCAACGCTCGCTCGTGGTTGACTGTCGCGTTAGCTCCAAATGGTATTACTAGAGTACGTCTTATTACGCTCGAGCATCATTCATTCGGGCTATACTGTCAGTTTAGGTGGACTTTCCTCGGATGAAGTGAAGCTGTATGAAGATTCGCTCACTTCAAATCCTCGTGGCGATGATGCACCGACTGTGGCTTTCGTATCGAAGTTCCAAGCAGCTGATCTACGATTGGGTTGCCTGATAGGAGATAAAGTAAGGATTTGGATAGTGTGGCAGAAAATGCAACTCATGAAATGCTCCGCTCCGCTAGGTTGACACTTTCCGAGAGCTCAACGGTTTTGTGGCGATGACTCGAATATTTTCTGGTGAAGTACGGGTTGGTCAGCAGCTCTATGTGCTGAGGGATGCTACGGGCGAAGGACAGAAGCAAGTGGAGAAAGATGAGTCAGGTGAAAGTAGCGCGCGCCTTGGTGATCGATTGCGGATTATGCTACTGTAGATGCTCCCGATGGTATAACCGTGACTGTTACTAGTATTTATGCGGTATTGGCAAGCTCATTGGTGCCAGCGGAGCAAGCGAAAGCTGGCTGCATCGTAGGCCTAGTATTACACGGCTCAGATGAGGGTGACAGGGCGGACGCGCACAGCGAAGATTTACGGAGTGTTCTCGGTCAGTTGTTGATCCCAGCAATCCGGATGCGCTCGAGGCCGCCAAGCGGTCGGCATGCAGTGGGGTGACGCTATCAAGCGCGAGGGATATGCCACCGTTCGTCAGTCCATTCGAGGGACAACAGAGCATTGTAATAGGAGGGCTCCGCCGGTTGAGAAACACCAGTATTGAGAGGATGATGCACTGATCCTTACGTTGCATCGCTGAGTTTGATACCGTGTCGCGTGTGAATGACAGATCTGAAACTGAAATGTTGAAGCTCAAAACTTAACTATTCAATATAGGGGGCGTTCATGTTAAATGGTTTAGTTTTGACCCGTATAATGGTATAAAGTTTCGCCCCTGTCGAGAGCTATAATTTTTACTCGAGAATGTGGAATTCGTGTGGTGCCTGCTCAACGTGGGTTGAGTGTGTTACATGGGAGGGGTGATTCGGTATTGGTCGTCCACCCCCATCGGCCCTAGAGGGCCCGTATGACAATCGTTGGAGACGCCGTGGGCTTGGCAACTGTGGGATCAGACATTGCTTGGTGACAGGTTCGAGTGTCGGTGTCACCAGTCCGATTGGAGGATACAGATGCTCTCACATTGGGATTGATTCGTTTAAAGCAGGCTGACCCAGCTGCTAGTGTGGCGCGGAATCCAGACACAGGAGAACTGCTCGTTGGATGCTGCGGCGATGAGCACCTGCATCGTTGTGTGAGTGGGCCCCTTTAGTGTTCGGATATACTCTTCCTCGTCAGTGTGGCATTGC